TGGTCTCATTTGATAGAATGGAAGACATATTACAGAAATAGAATGATTTTGATTGGTTTTAGCACTGGAAATGGCTTGAAACTGAGCTCAAAGTAGCGGAAATGTTAAATTTTTGTCAATCTTCAAGAGTAAACAACGACCTCACACGTCTAATACAAGCCAGCTGGTGAGTCTAATATACATTCACAAATGTGGTGATGATATTTATACAATTATTACAATATTGCATAACAGTAAATCTTCTATTTTTTGGTGTGAATAAAAATTCATTATGTGAATAAAAAATCAAAATGGAATTTATTTGTAAAGCCTCAAAACATAACTAATGAACAGAGGAAATGTTAGTTTAGTGCCAGGAATACCTACATTGTTTATTCTGGACCCTATTTTGAAATCAGAATATTTTGAACTGTGTTAAATTGGCCAAATTACCAATTTCCGATCACTTTATTTTGTAGTTGAAACAGTTGACTTGGCGATTTCTTGTGCTCAATCGATAGAATAATACTAGTGAAATAGCTAAGAATTTGGTTGACTGGAATAATGCAATTGGCCTAAAATGGGAGTCAAAGTCTGCAAAATCGCCGATTCGTAAATATCGCTGACACATCAAAATTCGCGAGAGCATAATTTCGTCAATTTTCCATCAAATTTTGTACTTTTTGTTTTATTACCTTCACAAAAAGATTCTCTACCATTTCATAAGAAAAAATAAAATTTTTTTTTTTTTTTAAATTCTTGGACACTGGGGCACCACTTCAGATTTTGGCCTTGGACCCTGAAAGGGTTAAAGAATGTAAACCTTTAATTTTTTTTCAACAAGTCGGCCATCTCCCACCAAGGCACGGTGACCCAAAAAGAAAGAAAATCCCCAAAAAGAAAATACTTTCATCATCATTCGAGACTTTCACCTCACTCATACATAATCACTGTTTTTGCAGAGGCACCCAGGCACAACAGTTTAGAAGCATATATAAAGATATATAACATATCCCTCTAAACTGACAATATCCCAAACCCCTTCTTTAAAGTGCAGGCATTTTACTTCCCATTTCCAGTACTCAAGTCAGGCTATATAAAAAATCACAGGCTTCCCTAAATCCCTTCACTAAATATTACCTTGTTCACACTCCAACATCTTGTCAGGTTCCAAAAACCATTCGTCTCCATTCACTCCTATCTAACACGCTCATGCACGCTTGCTGGAAGTCCAAGCCCCTCACCCACAAAACCTCCTTTACCCCTCCCTCCAACCCTTTCGAAGATGACCCCTACCCCGCCTTCCTTCCCCTACAGATTTATACGCTCTCCATGTCATTCTACTTTGATCCATTCTCTCTAAATGACCAAACAACCTCAACAACCCTTCTTCAGCCCTCTGACTAATACTTTTATTAACTCCACACCTTCTCCTAATTTCCACACTCCGAATTCTCTGCATAATATTTACACCACACGCTGCCCTTAGACAGGACATTGCCACTGCCTCCAGCCACCTCCTCGCTGCAGTATTTACAACCCAAGCTTCACACCCATATAAGTGTTGGTACCACTATACTTTTATACATTCCCTTCTTTGCCTCCATGGACAACGTTTTTTGTCTCCAGAAATACCTCAACGCACCACTCATATTTTTTCCTTCATTAATTCTATGATTAACCTCATCTTTCGTAAGCCCATCCACTGACACATCAACTCCCAAATATCTAAACACAGTCACTTCTTCCATACTCCCTCTCTCTAACGTGATATCCAATTTTTCTTTATCTAAATTGTTTGATATCCTCATCACCTTACTCTTATCTAGGTTCACTTTCAACTTTCTACCTTTACACACCCTCCCAAGCTCGTCCACTAACCTTTGCAACTTTTCATTAGAATCTCCCATAAGCACAGTATCATCAGCAAAAAGTAACTGTGTCAACTCCTATTTTGTACTTGATTCCCCATAATTTAATCCCACCCCTCTCCCCAACACCCTAGCATTTCTTTCTTTCACAACCCCATCTATAAATATATTAAACAACCATGGTGACATTACACATCCCTGCTAAGACCTACTTTTACCGGGAAGTAATCTCCCTCTCCCCTACACACCCTAACCTGAGCCTCATTTTCCTCATAAAAACTCTTTACAGCATTTAGTAACTTACTACCTATTCCATATACTTGAAACATCTGCCACATTGCTCTCCATTCCACTATCATATGCCTTTTTCTAAATCCATAAATGCAATGAAAACTTCCCTACCTTTACCTAAATACTGTTCATATATGCTTTAATGCAAACACTTGATCTACACATCCCCTACCCACTCTAAAGGCTCCTTGCTCATCTGAAATCCAACTCTTCGTCTTACCTCTAATTCTTTCAGTGAAAAACATTAGAGTTTATGAGCCTTTTTAAAGAAAGAACTGAACTGTAAAATCTGCATTTGCTTAAATAATAAACTAATCACACAAAAAATTTAAAAGTTAAATTAAGTAAATTTGAATTAATTCTATGTGCAATAATTTATTTTATTAACAAGTGTATCCAATAACATAATACGGTACTGTACAACAACCCTATAATTCTTACATCTGCTTTTAATTATTATAATAATCATGGGAAGCAATAAACTCATAAAATGCTTGTAGAATGGGAGATAATTTTGATCCAATGAAAAGGGAGCTCCAATGCCATGGATCAAGAGCCTTTCACCTGCACTAAGGCACCTCACTTGAAGGACGCTTTTTCTGCATGAATACATATACAGCAGACACTTGCATTTCGTAGAAAAACATTGAATTTTCAATAAATCACAAATGAAATTTTGTAGTCAAGTTCACATTCCATGGGATAATGACTGCATGATCGTGTCGTAAATTTTGGAGAATATAATTGACTATACTCTTTTTTCCATAAAATTCAGCTTGAGAGCAAAGTGAGACATTTCTCCTGCAAGCCTAGGATAAGCCCATTGTTTGAAAGGGAGGCCTAGTATTACTTCTTTTTGTAAATATCTAGCCACAATACCAGACACCTTTTAGACATATTCCATACCTTACTGTGTTTATCAACTGATTTTTCATTTCTTCATCATTCCATCTCAGCTATGCATATCAATCATGGCACCCAAGATGAATATTAGTGATGCTGGAAGTACCAAGAGAAACCACAAGTGTGAAACTATGCCTTTTTGAACAAAATCAGAGGCAACAGATACACTTAAAGAAGGGGTATGCGTAATCAAGATGCTTTGCACCTTTGGTGTTTCAGAAGAAACAATTCTTTCAATTAGATACAATGAGAAAATCAGAGCTACTGAAATGAGTAATTCAGAGTGTGACTTGCTGACGTGGAAATTGACTAGAAAGCAAAGGTGCCAGATTTAATAACCTTATGATAAAGGAGAAAGCCCTGTCATACTAAAATAAGTGTGTAAACAGGACGAAAAACCTTCAGAGGTATTCGTCTAGGTTTGGAAGGTTTAACCATTTTAGTGCACATGGCTGCATAATATAAAGTTTGGTGGGGAAAATGAGTCTACTGACCAAGCAGCCGCAAGAAATTTCCTTGCTGAGTTTCAGTGGAAATAATTTCTGAGTATGGCTACAATAATGAGAAAATGTTGAAGGCTGACAAGACAGAATTATTTTGGAAGATGCCATCCAGAACTTTATATCAACATGAATGAAAGAAAAGTGCACCTGGAATAAAGGCAGTGAACTATCATTTCAAGTTGCTTCTGTGCACTAATGCATTGATTTCAAATACAGGCTTATGCTATTTATCGGTCTCAGAGTTCCCAGGCTGTCTAAGATAGCATGGATGAGTGAGGCCCTGTGTGTTGAGTGGTTCAAGCATTATTTTATTCTTGCAATGAAGCTATTACTGTCCAGAAAGAACCATTCATTCAAGGTCCTCCTCACTCTTGTTAATACCTTTAGCCATCCTCAAGTCTTGCAGTCTGAGATGACGTTTACATTTTTTACCACCAAATATGACATCTTTAAAACAACCATTTGGTTAAGACATTTAAGTGCCACTACACAAGCAAGGTCACGCACAAACTCATTATAGCAGTAGATGAGAATGTAGATACTATAAGATCTCCAGAGCTCTGGAGTCAATTTAACATTGCAGATGCCATAACCCATATAAAATTGTCATGGGATGAAGTACTCCAGTCAACAATATATGAAGGCTGGAAAAGATTATGGCTTGGTGAGGTGAATAATTCCAGTTTGTTTGTTTTTTCTTCATGTTCATGAGATTGTGAATCTGGCAGTGAGCACTAGGTGGGAGCGTTGAAGATATGTAGGTGCAAGATGTAAATTAACTGTTAGATGATGATGAGGATGATGAACAAACTGCAGAAAAAATATTGGAGATAGGTCCCCAGTTAGTACAGACACATAACAGATGAGGACGAGGTAGAAGAACCTAACCCAAAATAGTCGACACCCCAAGAAATATGCAAGATACTGCATACTACTGGTAAAGTGGCAGACTATTTATTTTTTAACTGAAAAAGAACCCTGACACATCTAGTAGCATTACTGTGAAGCAGGTTCTAGACCAAGCAATATCATCTCATTGTCAACTGTATATGTATAGTACTGCTGAGTAAAAGAGAACAGACATGCATTACAGAAAACCCAAGCACTCTGCCATCTGCAGCAACAGAACCACAGTGATCCACCTTGGACCAGTAGAGCCACAGCAACCCTCTCTACATATTTCAATATCACCATTACAAATAACCAGTATTAATGGAAAGAAAAAATTGTTTTACCTAACCTTGTTGTTTCAGCTACATGTACTGTATTTTTTGGCCGTATAAACCTCGATACATCCAATTTATAACAATTACAATGTAAAATATACAAAACTATATTATATTTAATGAATTTAGATTTTTTTTTTTTTTTTTTTTTTTTTGGAAGTGTTAAGAATGGAACTATGTTTCCCATTTTGTAATTTCAAGCATGGTGCAAAATTTCAGGAATGTAACTTGACATATGAAATGTGAGTCTACTATAATTAAGGTTGTTTCGATAACTGTACTTTTGAGTAATATCATATAAACAAGGATCGGCTATAGCTCTTCAGGCACAATGAAGACGAAAAAAAAGAATGCTGCAACCTCCACATACCACATTAATATGACAAAATATTTTATACTTACCCCACATCCTGTATAAGGCTGCAAAAAAAGTGTAATAAAAAGCATTTAAATATGTTGAGAAAAATTGTCAGTCAATTAAGTTTTATTTTTTCACAAAGTGGCATTTGTAATACAGCATACAGATGATGAAAGTGCAGGCAGCCCCCACATAATAATAGTTTGATTAACATAGAAGTATTTAATGACAAAAGAATATATTAGGGAGTAAATTTACATAACTGCAAATGCCTTTTCATCATGTACAGAGGTAATGCTATACTGCATGAAGAATATGGTATGGGAAGTCCCCAAGTTAAAAATGCCAGGTTACACACATTTGCAATTACAAACAAGGCACTTCAGAACCAATTATAGTTTTACAACCAGAGTTGCAGTAACAGCATGAGTGAAACAACCATTCTTTGTACTACAGTATTGTTTTTTATACAACTCTTTTCGTAAGTAGAAGATCTCATGTACTTCTAAGTAACATATCTGTTTCTGAAAGACATTAGGAAGTATTCACCAATGCACTTGACTTTTCAATTTCTCAACTCACTTGTTCCAAAGGGATTATGTTGGACAACAGAGCCAAAACCCTGTTGAGTGTGTGTTGCAGTTCCTACTGAACTTCCTCCATTCATCCAGGGAGTTCCAGTATTACATCCTGTTGAAATAAAGTAACAGTAATAGCAACAGCACTATCATTACCATTTATATGTCATTCCCAGTAGTAACAAAAAATCTGACCCAATCCATCATCCATCCTCAATCCTTCTCCTTCTCTGTACAAATTAGAGTGACAAGATACCCAGGTGGTGCATGTGTCTATTCCACTCTTGTCATTATTACTCATCTTACATCTAGCTTTACAGATGACAAACTTGATAATGTTAGTAAGCATTCCCTACACCCGCTGCCTCTGTTCACCTAGCAGCATACAGGTACCTAGGTGTCAGTCAGCTGGTGTGGGATCACAACAGATGATCTAGAGAATGTACATAGAGCTTTCACTGCATGTATAAGTTCTGTCAAGCATCTTACAGTGGAACCTCGGTTTTCGTGATTAATCCGTTCGAAAAAGTCTGACGATAAACTGAACTGTACAAAGACTGAAGCAATATTTCCCATAAGAAATAATGTAAATCCAATTAATCCATTCCAGATACCCAAAAATATTAACAAAAAATACAGTTTCTAGAGAATAACTATGGTTTTTACGTACAAACTAAGGCATACAAAAACCGAGGTTGCACTGTACCTTAATTAGCCAGACTTGAGTCCTGGAGGTGGGAAGTACAGTGACTACACTCTGGTGGAGTGGGGATATTTGCAGTTTGGAGGAGCATATGAGCTGTAGTATTGGCATGCCTCTGGCAAAACAGTGATCGAGTCATTGATGGAAAGCGTTTCTTCTTTTGGGTCACCCTACCTTGGTGGGAGACAGCTAGTGAAAAAAAAAAAAAAAAAAAAACCCTGTGTCTTTGAACACTGGCAAGGTCACATCACAGACCAGATTGTGGGGAAGCTGACGTTCAGAATACTCTCCAGGTAAACTCCAGGTGGAGTAAGATGGGGGAAGATATAATAGCATACACTGAATTGAGCTGGGCTTTTAAATGAGCTTAGCAGGACAACAGTTTTTAGCCTGTAAATTAAACTGTATATAAAAAAATACCTTTCAGATACTTAGGACATTTTTATTTCAACTTACCTGAAAATGGATTAGCACCAGCAAAATTATTAGCCCAGGCATTGCCAGCCTTTGGAGGAGTGCCAAACACCCCCATGCCTCCAGAGCCACCTCCATTAACAGCATTGAAGACACTGTTGGTGGTACCAGGTGAGCCAAAGACTGTTCCATTCAGTGCCGAAGTTGAGGAACCAAACACCGAAGAACTCTGATGACTTCCATTAGGTATGGGCCAACTACTCCCACCATCTGTGGGTAATCTTGTTTTAGAATTCGGTTTCTGATTTAATATTCTAAACTGCAAAATAAAACTATGGACAGACATGGATAAAAATTTGTATCGACTAGACAACTTCACTAACAAGCACATGCATCTATTCACTGTAATTTTAACATCACTTTTCATAGCACCAAATAACTGCTTAAAATTAACAAAGAGTGATATGACTTAACTCTAATGTGTTGGATGCAAAGCAAAGTATAAATGCAGGAAATAACTGCTTAGGTTCCATTACTGCATCAATAATCAAAGAAAAGGTATAATCACAGTTGAGGTTAGTTGTCTTCAATGGATGGTTATAGCAGAGTATACAAGCCCATGAATTTGTTGGCATTCTATATACGTGTACTGTATACTGAATCTAAACTATATTATTTCTTTTGATCAGTTATAGATCTTAATTAATGCAATAGTTTGCTAAAAAATAAATTTCATTAAACAAGTACTGTATGATAAATACAGCATTCAGCATTAATACATTAATTAAAAACTTATTTTTTTTATATTTAACCATAATATAATGGTTTTCGTTATCTATGGAGGCAAAGAAGGGAATGTATGAAAGTATAGTGGCACCAACACTCTTATATGGGTGTGAAGCTTGGGTTGTAAATGCTGCAGCGGAGGCAGTTGGAGGCATTGGAGATGTCCTGTCTAAGGGCAATGTGTGATGTAAATATTATGCAGAGAATTCGGAGTGTGGAAATTAGGAGGTCTGGAGTTGATAAAAGTATTAGTCAGAGGGCTGAAGAGGGGTTGTTGAGGTTGTTTGGTCATTGAGAGAGAATGGATCAAAGTAGAATAACATGGAGAGCGTATAAATCTGTAGGGGAGGGAAGGCGGAATTGGGGTCGTCCTCGAAAAGGTTGGAGGGAGGGGGGTAAAGGAGGTTTCGTGGGTGAGGGGCTTGGACTTCCAGCAAGCGTGCGTGAGCGTGTTAGATACTAGTGAATGGAGACTAATGGTATTTGGGACCTGACGAGTTGTTGAAGTGTGTGCAGGGTAATATTTAGTGAAGGGATTCAGGGAAACCGGTTATTTTTATATAGCCGGACTTGAGTACTGGAAATGGGAAGTACAATGCCTGCACTTTAAAGGTGGGGTTTGGGATATTGGCAGTTTAGAAGGATATGTTATATATCTTTATAAATGCTTCTAAACTGTTGTATCTGGGTGCCTCTGCAAAGACAGTGATTATGTATGTTGAGGTGAAAGTGTTGAATGACGATGAAAGTATTGTCTTTTTTGGGATTTTCTTTCTTTTTGGGTCACCCTGCCTTGGTGGGAGACGGCTAACTTGTTGAAAAAAAAGTAAATAATGCTCTTAGCAGTTTTACATTAACCCTTTCAGGGTCCAGAGGCCAAATTTCAAAGTGCACACCAGGATCCAAGAACTTTGAAAAAAAAAAAAAAATTATTTTTTCTAATGAAATGGTAGAGAATCTTTTTCTGAAGGTAGTAAAACAAAAAGTACGAAATTTGATGGAAAACTGACGAAATTATGCTCTTGCGAATTTTGATGTGTCAGCGATATTTACGAATTGGCAATTTTGCTGACTTTGACTCCCATTTTAGGCCAATTACACTATTCCGGTCAACCAAATTCTTAGCTGTTTCACTAGTATTACTTTTATTCTATCGATTGAGCACAAGAAATCGCCAAGTCAACTATTTCAACTACAAAATAAAGTGATCGGAAATTGGTAATTTGGCCAATTTAACACAAAGTTCAAAATATTCCAATTTCAAAATAGGGTCCAGAATAAACAATGTAGGTATTCCTGGCACTAAACTAACATTTCCTCTGTTCATTAGTTACATTTTGAGGCTTTACAAATGAATTCCATTTTTATTTTTTATTCACACAATGAATTTTTATTCAAACCAAAAAATAGAAGATTTACTGTTATGCAATATTGCATAATAGTAAATCTTCTATTGTATAAATATCATCACCACATTTGTGAATGTATATTAGACCCACCAGCTGGAGTGCATTAGACGTGTGAGGTCGTTTGCTTACTCTTGAACATCGGCAAAAATTTAACATTTCTGCTACTTTGAGCTCAGTTTCAAGCCATTTCCAGTGCTAAAACCAATCAAAATCATCTCTATTTCTATTATATCTCTTCCATTCTATCAAATGAGACCAAGAAATCGCAAATACAACTATAAAAAACATGCGAAAAAACACTGCAGTCGCTGTTTTAATCGAAAATCACGGTCTCAATTTTTTTCCTCTCATTATACACTGTGTGCTGCAGGATTTGTTTTATGTGGTGCACACATACCACGTAGATGTATTCTTTCATATCTAGGCCCAAATTTACCACTCACAGCTTATCAGAGTGAGCTGAGCTCATTGCGTAGATCTACGGTTTGGACCCTGAACGTAAAGCCGTAGATCTACGGCACGGACTCTGAAAGGGTTAATGATTAATTAATGATTTATTAATAGAAATGCAATAAGCCTATGCATATAGACAGTAGAGACTTTCCAAAATTTGCTATTATGTTCCACAACCTGCACCTCTCACGCTTTCTCCTCATTCAGCTATACCTCAATCATGGATTCTGTGCCAAGAGATCAACTTCAACTACACACCTCAAACCAATTACAGCTTGACAAAAAGCAGCTCTCAGAACAATCTGAAACTCAAGGAAATTTTTTTTTTTAAACGCATCAGCTGTTTCCCACCGAGGAAGGGTGACCCCAAAAAATAGAAAAATCCAAAAGGTAAGAAAAAACCTTCATCATTCAACATTTTCACCATCGCTTATACAATATCACCATCCTTACAGAGGCGCTCAGATAAGACAGTTTAGATTTCCCTCCAAACTGCCAATATCCCAAACCCCTCCTTTAAAGTGCAGGCATTGTACCTCCCACCTCCAGGACTCAAGTCTGGCTAACCAGTTTCCCTGAATCCCTTCACAAAATATCACCCTGCTCACACCCCAAGAGGTCGTCAGGTCCCAAAAACCATTCATCTCCATTTACTATCTAACACGCTCACACATGCTTGCTGTATATCCACCTGAGAACATATCTGGTTGAATTTAACTCAACTTTTCTTATTGTCAAGTACTATGCTATACTTTTAATCTACTGTCATGTAGGATTTAAATATGTTTGTTATAATCCTTAAAACCACTGTTTGTGTTTGTATACATATGCAATGTTTTTATGTTCTGTTATGTTCTACTAGTCTTAAGGTAAGATTATGCTTGACTGAATGTTCTGCAAAACCAGGAGCTCTCCATGTGAATTACTAATGGCTATCCAATTTTGTAAAACTATGTAACATTTTTTTTTTTTTTCAACAAGTCGGCCGTCTCCCACCGAGGCAGGGTGACCCAAAAAAGAAAGAAAATCCCCAGAAAGAAAATACTTTCATCATCATTCAACACTTTCACCACACTCACACACTATCACTACCTTTGCAGAGGTGCTCAGAATACAACAGTTTAGAAGCATATACGTATAAAGATACACAACATATCCCTCCAAACTGCCAATATCCCAAACCCCTCCTTTAAAGTGCAGGCATTGTACTTCCCATTTCCAGGACTCAAGTCCGACTATATATAACATATGGAAATAAATTCATTTATTACTGCTAATGTGGACAGCTTGTTGTCCTGAATCATCTCCAGCTAATATCCTGACTCTAACAACATAATAGTATTTTGGAAAAATGCTTCAGGAAACAGTATATGTAAGGGACTGAGAACCAAGTGGAAAATAGCTACTGGTAAATCTAAAAAATAAAAGGAAAGCCCTGAAACAGGATTTGTAATACTATGTTTATTTCAGTCTTAAAAAAAAATTCACTCTTAAACATGCCAATATCAGGTACAGATGTTTTTGTAGTAGTACTGTATGGAGCCCTGGCAGAAGAACTACAAATTGTATGGCAAGTAAAAACAAAGCCAGAGGTAAATTTCTGATACACTATATGTTAAATCTGACAGGAGAAAATGACATTTAGCTGGTAATGTAACATGTCTGTCACTTGATTTCAGACTGTTCAAGCATAGAGTCAACTGAAGAATTATACATAGTTGATTTTAGTCCCTCAATTTGGTAGTCAAATCTTTATGAACCATAGGCTATACAGCCTCTCCTCACTTAGCGACATACTCGTTCACCGACGACTCGGACTTACGACGGGCTCTCTGACCAGCATGCATACCTAAATAATGTATATTAGAGCCGATTTCCTCTATTCCTGTTTATTACAATATAGAGTACATTACTGTACAAACATTTAATTTTTTTTTTTAACAAGCTGGCCATCTCCCACTGAGGCAGGGTGACCCAAAAAGAAAATCCCCAAAAAGAAAATAAAATAAAAAATAAAAATAAAAATAAAATACATTTAAAAATATGCTAAAAATATTATAAATGGTGCAAGGGTGACAAAGCACTATCAAAGATGGTTGACATAAACCCATTACCATTATAGTATGCTCCTTGTTTAGTGACGAATTCAATTATCAACATGGTATTAGGAACGGAACTCCATCGTTAAGTGAGGAGAAGCTGTATAGTGAAACATGCATTAGTGAACTACCTGAGTACATACTTGTATCAAGCATGGTTGTACTCTTAACATTACTAGATAATGCTTTACTGTGCCTCAGTTAAAAATTATTACCTTAAACATCTAGGTTGAAGGAGGAAGATGTAATGTACTAAAAAATTCAAAGAACATATTTTGTAAAAGGTCAACATTTTTTATGGAAGTCTCCTTACAAACTTTGTATAAGTAAGCTGATTTTTTGTGATTATTCAGGTTATCAGGAATGTCACTGCAAAATTTCTATAGATTAAGTAAACTACAAATAATGAACTAATTCTAGTAATCCTCTAAATAGTCATGCATTTAAGATAAAAATCAGTAGATTCTTACTTGACATTGTTTCCGATTCTTTCTGCGTCTTGAACTCTTCATCCAAATCCTTCAAGGCTGCATAACGATCTTGCATAGGTGTATTTGAACAGGATTGAGTGTTGTGAACAGTTGAGGAAGGAGGATTGGAAGAGGAGCCAGGAACCATTGGGGTAAGGGGATTATTGGAGAATGGGAGTTGTGGGCCCAAGGAGGTTGATTTGTTGCTAGTTGTGGTGCCTGCAAGAACGTAATTAGCAGAAGTCATGCTAATGTCAGTATTACAGTGGAAAGGTTGTTGCTGCTGGCCTAAATTTTCATGCAAGAACATATCACTACTGCTAAAACCACCCAAACTTCCAACACGTCCAACTGCACTGCTGGCCATAGGTGGGTCCTGCCGAGCATTAGTGGCAGGCTGCAAAAACGATACAAATGGGTTAGTAAATAATGATGCACGAGGTGGACACGCACTAGGAAAACTGCTACTAAGGCTGCTGCTAGTGGTAATCTTGTTGATGATTGGTATGGGCTTGGAGGCTTCTCCCCTCTTCTCAGTAAAGAGGGGAGCATTATCAAAAATAGCATTTTCATCATTAGTTGAAGATAGAGAAGCACCTTCACTTAAAAATGGGTTAGTTTTTACAATATTATCAACTTCTGGAGCAGGCATATTACTTACCATTCTTGATTTTGGAGACTCGCATTCCCTATCTAACGATTTCTCCTCGTTTTTTTTCTTTTCCAAGTCTGAGGATATTTGTCGGCTTCCTGAAGCAAGATTTTGGTAAGAAGTTCCCCTTAATTTATTAGTTGAAGACAGAAAAGCAGCAAAACATTTTGAGCTAATCTCATTAGACTTTGCATTCAGATGAAAGTAACTTCGAGTGCTTTCTGGCACGTCATTGTAATCAACAAGAGCTCTAACAGTGTCAGAATGTGGCAAATCCACATTCAGAGCTGAGTATGCAAAATCACCGAGACCTTTGGAGCCTGAAGGCAGTTTCTTCCTTGACTGAAATGGGCTACCATGTAAGTGGGTACTTTTTGCCTGCACCTGTGATACTCGTACATTCTTTGTGGCTGTTGGAGAGGAGTTTGCCTGACTTGGTCTTGGTTCTAAGGAAGCATGCAAACTCTGTTCACTACTCATGACAGAAGAGTTAGAAAAGGACAGAGACTGTTTTTCTGTGGAAGATGAAACTTTATCTTCCTCCTTTGGACATGCATTTAAGGTTGGGTAAGTTGGGTAAACATATTGGGCACTCACACCCGAGGCAAATATCAAAGTGGGATAGCTTTTCTGCTTGTTAGTTGGCCTATTGGAGGCATCACAAGAAATGGTGGCAGAACGGAAGGCTTCTGACATTGGGATAAGAGGAGTGCCAGGATTTACATCTTCCTCAAAAGCCTCCCAATTAAAGCGAGAGGGGCTCAGACGAGGTGAGGGAGTTTGGGCAGGACAAGGAGGAGGATTAAGAGAGAGAGTGCAAGGTTGATCCGTAAGTGTTTCACACGTTGATTCGGTTTCACTCTGTGAAAACTGCTCTTCTGGAGAAAGAGAAACCATCTACTGATGATGCTGGGAAATGACAGACACAATGAAAAGTGCAAATTATGGCAGAGGGAAAAAATGGCTAATATAGAAATTTGGTTTAAGAGTAGCATCATTCACATTTGACACCTGTGAGATAAGAGGGTGATAATGATAACACATACTTAAATATTGTTTATATGGTAGTATATAAAGGATTTTTTTTTTAGTAATGAATGTTGTATACCTCAATACAATAGGTGAAATTAATACATAATTCCTTAAAATTAATAAATAAATAAATTGTATATATATATTAATTATGTTTTCTAAGAAATATATATAATAACAATATGTAGTGGCTGGTTCCACAAAGGGAATAAACCAGAAAATTGTCTCACAAATCCAGTGTAAGATTACTGTTACTTTATTATATTTAATGTATATGAAGTGGTAAACTGTGCAGGGCATTTAATGTAAATAGTGGTGGAGGTTCAATCTTTGGTCTGTTAACAGTGAGGCGAACTGTACTCTCTCAAAAAGGAATCCCCATCCAATGAAGCATAATGCTCAGACATGCAAATCATTCCTTTACAGATGCCACTTGGTTCAAATCCCACAGAATCCCAATGAAAATTTAATTTTATTGTATAAACTTATTAAGAGACAAAGATAGGCAGGCTCGCAGGCAGGTAATCAAGCAGGATGTTAGATGAGCATAAACACTATTAATCATATGCTGTTCTTAAAACCAATCCATAAGTATCATGACTACAGGCAGGCCCCATTTTACAACACTCGCTTTACAGCGTTTCGCTAATACAGCGGTTTTCAATTATATCCATTCTTTCTTTATAGTAAGAATATTCAGTGAGGCAATGCTTCACTTGGGGGAAGTTTTTCAATCCAAGCTGTAAAATAGCCTTCAAACTTCATCACCTACTAAACTTTCGGGTATTCTTGATAATAATGCATTCAATAATCTCTTCTAACTTTTTATACTGATGCTTTATATAAATTAATCATTCATAGGTTATAGAGACTTTTGGAAAACATTTATTAAGTAAGAAGAATGGAAGGTAGTGGGCTGTGGGGTAAGGGACAGAGTTTGTATGTACTAGGATTAGTTTGCCCGAAAAGCCCCGGCATGATAGTGGCTTTCTTTGTAGCTACACATTGTAACCTTTGCAAAGAAATAAAATCTTTAATCTTTTTAATCTTGTAGCTTGACGAGCAGATTATGAAAGTCCATGGAGGTCACTACCCACATTTCACAAGTTAAATTTCACTTTTTTAAGATGTATGGAGCATAACATAAATGATTTCCTCATTGTACAAAAACTTATGTTGCAATTCTTCAATAATGTTCATCCCAAACAGCCACGTAGAGTCAAGTTATGAGTTTACTTTACTGTATTTTAAACAACCTTTTTGTCTGCTGTACACAAATTTTGTTTAGGTATGCCTGTAATTCCAAAACTACTGTATTAGCACCATAAACAATTTGTAACTCAATATCTGTGACTGATAACAAAAGATTTCATAGTCTTTATATTATACTCTCGCATTCTTCTGTAAACCATATCTTCACAAGTCAGTTACCTGAAAAATAACCTCTATTCATTTTTATTTAAAGTACACATTACACTAAATAATAAGTGCTGTCCCAAAATAGATTACAAAACAAGAATTAACAGACTAATTTTTACTGTTAATGAATACTAATTAACAAGATTAAGACAACTCAGTTCACTTTGAGGGTTTGATCTTTTCACCATTTTTTTTCTTAGCCACACTGGTCATTTCCCACCAAAGTAGGATGAACCAAAATAGGAAACACATGCCACATCATTCAATCAATAACTGTCCTGCTAGAATTGTGAAAACATCACAGGTTAAATAACTCTTTGAGCTGCAATATTCCCACCCCTCCTTCAGAATGAAAGCATTGTATCTCCTGCTTCTACAACTTAAGATATTAGAACTGTAGATGATTCTATTTTAGTAGCAAGGAATGTGAAAATATCAAACATTCATTCTGTCATAAACCAAAACTACTACTTCTTTCAACAAACCAGCCGTATCCCAATGAAGCAGGGTGGCCCAAAAAGAAAAATGAAAATTTCTCTTTTTAACTTTAGTAATGTATAGAGGAGAAGGGGGTTACCAGCCGTTGCTCCCGGCATGTTAGTCACCTCTTACAACACGTATGGCTTATGGAGGAAGAATTCTGCTCCACTTCTCCATGAAGATAAGAAGAAATAAACAAAATCAAAACACATACATTTGTTATATGCACATAATACTGAAAAATACAGAAAAAAAACTTACCAAGTGTGTTTGTAAAAATGTTTGCATTCTCAAAATTGGCAAATGAAGGCTGCGAAACTGATGTGGGTGCTTGGGAACTTGTAGGAGAGGCAAAGGGGTCATTGGAGTTAACTGAGGAAACAGGCTGGTTCCCCAAGTCTGCTAATAAATCTAATGAAGTCGAAGATTTTGGAGTAGAGTTTTTTGATCCAGTATTGGTGGCACTATTTAAGCTGCCACTTACTGACCCTGATGACTGAAAAAATGCAAAAAAATAAAAAAAAAATAAAATAAAAAATAAAAAACTTATGATATAAAATTATAATACCATGTACAATATGACATATTTTGCATTAAATAGGGTGCTGATTTAGTTACCGATAATTATATTATTATTATTACATTCACAGAGAAGCACTAACTTATAAAGATCACATAGTTCCTGGGTAATGGAAGGACTGATCTGAAGAAGGGGTGAGCAGCTCCAGTGTCTTGAATCAAGAGCCCTTCATGAATGTCAAGGGTAGTAACTGATAAAGATTTGACACGACAAGCATTACTAAATGTTGAAATCCAAACCTGCTCTCCATGATATTTTCTGATATGCTATATGCTAAACATGATTGCAGAACATCCACAAGAAGAAATGACTAAAAAGAACATGAATGAAAAATTCTGATAGTCAGCTGGATCCAATCAGCAGTGTAATGAACCGACCAACCAGCAGTGTAATCAATCGACCAACAGTGTAATGAACCAACCAACAGTGTAATGAACCAACCAACAGTGCATTGAACCAACCAACAGTGTAATGAACCAACCAGCAGTGTAATGAACCAACCAGCAGTGTAATGAACCAACCAACAGTGTAATGAACCAACCAACAGTGTAATGAACCAACCAACAGTGCATTGAACCAACCAACAGTGTAATGAACCAACCAACAGTGTAATGAACCAACCAGCAGTGTAATGAACCAACCAGCAGTGTAATGAACCAACCAGCAGTGTAATGAACCAACAAGCGGTATAATGGATCCACATGGCATACTTCTAACAATACTAGAGAGAAGAAAACAAATGTTAGGGACCAAGCTCCTATAGGGATATCATCATTTGATAAAGCTCTACAGAGTAAAATGTCCCAATTAAAGCTTGTTCTGCAACATGTATTTTCTTCATGCAAAATACACAAGATTTTAATGGAGTCTTTATAAATAATGTGTGTAACAAGTAGTGATCCTGCTTCTCTTCAATGCTCTCATAACCCAAAACTTATAGATAAAATGTGCCATAAAATATCTTCACATCATTTTACTAATATGCATAACTTTTTTCTATTTTTTTCTTTACTGCTTGGTGTTCTAACACTACATACAAGGAATGCTTGTACGTGTTTCAAGGTGTAATACTCCTCAAAATATTGAAATAGGTAATACTGCATAATTTTCATGGGTTAATTGTAATGTTATATTTAGGTTCAGGGAATATCTTGTAATTTTTTTTTCTCATCACACTGGCCATATCCCACCAAGTCAGGGTGACCTAAAAAAGAAAAACGAAAGTTTTTCTTTTTAAATTTAGTAATTTATACAGGAAAAGGTGTTACTAGCCCCTTGTTCCTGGCATTTTAGTCACCTCTTACAAAATGCATGGCTTATGGAGGAAGGATTTCTACTTCCCCATGGAGATCCCATGTAATATAAATATAAAACGTATACTTACAAGGAAATCTTATGATATTACAATTGTATCAAGGTGTAATATTCATCGAAACATGGGAATAAGTCACACTGTTTGACTACGTACAGTTATCCTAGGTTAAATCTATATAGTGTACTTTTTGGCTGAATTCTACTACTATTAGCATCATGAAGTTGTAAAAATTTAGAATAAATAAGGTATCTCCCTCCAGCTCCGCACCCTGTTTGCTGGTAGGGACGCTGGTGGCCGCACAACAGGTCTCAGTTGGTTTACTTGTGCTAGTTCAGCAGTGTTTGCCTTTACTATCCAAAAGATTAATATAGTTTGTGATATCAGGAGTACGGCACAAGCCACAACTCAGTAAATGTAAATCAAATACACGAATAAAAAATCTGAGAATCAAAATGTTCTTCAATACACTTAATACTTTTCCTCCCATCTAAAAATAAGTTGACAGCCAATTCATATTAGTTGTTATAAGTTACAAATTGACTAAGTGTTTACTTAACCATTAGCCATCTTATTGGATACATCTATATCACTCGAGTCCTGTTGCATTTACAACTGAATTCATGCAGAGAATTCACCTTCACTACCTCCACCCAAAGTGCTACATTCACAAAGGCCAGACATTAGCAAGTGCTACTGTGTATTGGTGTGTCATGCTCAGCAACACAAGGTGTGGAAATGCTATAATGTAAGTAGTGCCTTTGCAGGGGTATAGTGCAAGCCATCTGAGTGTGTGTAGTGCAAACCTCTGGGTTATCTGTATCTAGTTAAGTGACTACCTATTTATAGCTACAGGAACAGAGATATGCTTGCATGGCCCAGTCCCAGTATTTAATCCATCATAATTAGCTTTAACTACCCAGTGGTTGTAGTATTAACTTTTGTATCCATTCTATTGTTCAAGCCCCACCTGTACCTTGGTTAGTTTGGCCTTTTTTGTTTTACAACTATACGTGTAGTGTTAGAGTGTTCAGCAGAAGTTTGTGGTTACAGGAAAGTGGGTGCGGGAGGGAAGAGGAGCGATTGGTGGAATGATGATGTAAAGAGAGTAGTAAGGGAGAAAAAGTTAGCAAATGAGAAGTTTTTACAAAGTAGAAGTGATGCAAGGAGAGAAGAGTATATGGAGAAAAAGAGAGAGGTTAAGATAGTGGTGAAGCAATGTAAAAAGAGAGCAAATGAGAGAGTGGGTGAGATGGTATCAACAAATTTTGTTGAAAATAAGAAAAAGTTTTGGAGTGAGATTAACAAGTTAAGGAAGCCTAGAGAACAAATGGATTTGTCAGTTAAAAATAGGAGGAGAGTTATTAAATGGAGAGTTAGAGGTATTGGGAAGATGGAGGGAATATTTTGAGGAATTGTTAAATGTTGATGAAGATAGGGAAGCTGTGATTTTGTGTATAGGGCAAGGAGGAATAACATCTTGTAGGAGTGAGGAAGAGCCAGTTGTGAGTGTGGGGCAAGTTCGTGAGGCAGTAGGTAAAATGAAAGGGGGTAAGGCAGCCGGGATTGATGGGATAAAGATAGAAATGTTAAAAGCAGGTGGGGATACAGTTTTGGAGTGGTTGGTGCAATTATTTAATAAATGTATGGAAGAGGGTAAGGTACCTAGGGATTGGCAGAGAGCATGCATAGTTCCTTTGTATAAAGGCAAAGGGGACAAAAGAGAGTGCAAAAATTATAGGGGGATAAGTCTGTTGAGTATACCTGGTAAAGTGTATGGTAGAGTTATTATTGAAAGAATTAAAAGTAAGACTGAGAATAGGATAGCAGATGAACTAGGAGGCTTTAGGAAAGGTAGGGGGTGTGTGGACCAGGTGTTTACAGTGAAACATATAAGGCTAAAGAGGTCTTTGTGGCATTTATGGATTTGGAAAAGGCGTATGACAGGGTGGATAGGGGGGCAATGTGGCAGATGTTGCAGGTGTATGGTGTAGGAGGTAGGTTACTGAAAGCAGTGAAGAGTTTTTACGAGGATAGTGAGGCTCAAGTTAGAGTACATAGGAAAGAGGGAAATTATTTCCCAGTAAAAGTAGGCCTTAGACAAGGATGTGTGATGTCACCGTGGTTGTTTAATATATTTATAGATGGGGTTGTAAGAGAAGTAAATGCGAGTGTCTTGACAAGAGGCGTGGAGTTAAAAGATAAAGAATCACACATAAAGTGTGAGTTGTCACAGTTGCTCTTTGCTGATGACACTGTGCTCTTGGGAGATTCTGAAGAGAAGTTGCAGAGATTGGTGGATGAATTTGGTAGGGTGTGCAAAAGAAGAAAATTAAAGGTGAATACAGGAAAGAGTAAGGTTATGAGGATAACAAAAATATTAGGTGATGAAAGATTGGATATCAGATTGGAGGGAGAGAGTATGGAGGAGGTGAATGTATTCAGATATTTGGGAGTGGACGTGTCAGCGGATGGGTCTATGAAGGATGAGGTGAATCATAGAATTGATGAGGGGAAAAGGGTGAGTGGTGCACTTAGGAGTCTGTGGAGACAAAGAACTTTGTCCTTGGAGGCAAAGAGGGAAATGTATGAGAGTATAGTTTTACCAACACTCTTATATGGGTGTGAAGCATGGGTGATGAATGTTGCAGCGAGGAGAAGGCTGGAGGCAGTGGAGATGTCATGTCTGAGGGCAATGTGTGGTGTGAATATAATGCAGAGAATTCGTAGTTTGGAAGTTAGGAGGAGGTGCGGGATTACCAAAACTGTTGTCCAGAGGGCTGAGGAAGGGTTGTTGAGGTGGTTCGGACATGTAGAGAGAATGGAGCGAAACAGAATGACTTCAAGAGTGTATCAGTCTGTAGTGGAAGGAAGGCGGGGTAGGGGTCGGCCTAGGAAAGGTTGGAGGGAGGGGTAAAGGAGGTTTTGTGTGCGAGGGGCTTGGACTTCCAGCAGGCGTGCGTGAGCGTGTTTGATAGGAGTGAATGGAGACAAATGGTTTTTAATACTTGACGTGCTGTTGGAGTGTGAGCAAAGTAACATTTATGAAGGGGTTCAGGGAAACCGGCAGGCCGGACTTGAGTCCTGGAGATGGGAAGTACAGTGCCTGCACTCTGAAGGAGGGGTGTTAATGTTGCAGTTTAAAAACTGTAGTGTAAAGCACCCTTCTGGCAAGACAGTGATGGAGTGAATGATGGTGAAAGTTTTTCTTTTTCGGGCCACCCTGCCTTGGTGGGAATCGGCCAGTGTGATAATATAAAAATAATAATAAAAACTATACATTCTTGTTCTCCACTGCCAAGTCTCCTTTTTCTTATGTATTTTATAACCTGATATATGTTGTTCTTCTACCTTAACTCATTTCAAAGCCCAGTCCTATCTAAGGTATACTACCACCCCTTCACAATGAATCTTAATTTTTTACTTTGTATATAATTTTTGTAACATCCATAAGTACATGGTATCTGTAAATCTATCTATCCCTTACGGTATGTCATCATCAGGGCAAGTACTGTCCCTAAAGGAATACCGCTGGTGAGATCACTATGTGAAGACATTTTCTGACATCACTGTTCATATAAAGTCACTCATCCATTACAATAAT